GCCTACATGGGAAAAAAAGAGCCTGCCAAAGAAGCAAGCTGGGAGAACTGGGGGTGGGAGGGTATCTGAACACTGTACCTCTGAAATTCAATCATAAATAACTTTGTAACTTTATAATTAGTGATGATTTAGTCAAGAGATTTAAAGAAAGAAAGAAAAGGTCATATCCTGTATCACTTAGCACAGACCTCTCAAAGGTGCTTAGACAGTGCACTTCCTAACCTAGCATGCTATCTACAACACTGAAACTATTCTTTACCTCTACACGAGGGTAGTGAGTTGTTCTGGGAACTTGGCCATGAAATGCCTGGAAATTTCTTTCATCAACCAACATTTATTAAGATTTGAAAATCACAAGCTTTTACTATCTAAAATTAGTTCTTAAAAGGTGTACTTACATATAATCTCTTGGGAGTCTTCAGAGTAATAAAAAGGAACAAGGAATTTGAAGTCAATGAGCTGGCGTCTAAATCTAGTTCTATGACCTGATACTACTTGAACTTCTAGGGCTCACTTACCCAAACTTTTATCTATCTATTTAAGCGAATTTTATTATTATTATTATTATTATTATTTGCTCGGGCAATAACACAGCAGGTAGGGCGTCTGCCTTGCACGCAGCCAACATGGCCGACCCGAGTTCGATTCCTCTGCCCCTCTCGGAGAGCCCGGCAAGCTACCGAGAGTATTCGATATGCCAGACACAGTAACAACAAAGTCTCCAATGGAGACGTTACTGGGCCCGCTCAAGCAAATCGATGATCAACGGGAGGGCCTTTTATTATTATTAATCCTTAACGTATTTGATATGCCAAACATAGTAACAAGTCTCACAATGGAGACGTTACTGGGCCCACTCGAGCAAATAGATCAACAGTGCTACAGTGCTATTATGGCTTTGAAGCCACACGTTGAGATGCTCTGGGTTAACACCTAGATCTGCACTCAAAAATTATTCCTGGTGGTGCTCTGGGGATCCTCTGGCATGCCAGGGATTGAACCCCGGGTGCTGCATGCTAGGCAAGAGCTCTGCCCGCTATACTATTGCTTCAGCCGCATTTATTTAATCAAACTTTAAATGGCCACCATGATCATCCTCCATGGGTTCTTGTGAAAACTACTTGAGCATATGAAGCATGGAGCAATGGGGTTGGCAAGTGGTCAGGTATTCAGAAAAGTTTCCTGTCTTTCATTTGACTGATAATTTACATACTGGGATGGAAATAAAATATTATGTGTGGTACTCAAGGGATCTGCAAGATAGCTGGAAAGGTAAAAGTAAAACCTGTAAAAGATATATAGCACTGCGTAACTGAATAAAGTAAGTATATCTAGTTCATAGAATAAAGTTTAATGCTATGTGACTAGAAAACAAAGTGGAAAGAGCAAAATATCGCTTTTTGGAGGAGACAGATACTGAATCAGGGGAATCTTCTGAGAATTGGTGGACATGAGATGGTTAAACCAACAGACGGAATAAAAAAGTAGTGCCCAATGAGAATAAGATGGGCAAATTATGGAACAGTGTACAAAGTGGTCTTGCTGGGAAAGGCTTTGCATATTGAAATACAAAATTCCAGTCTTTCAGGTTCGATAAGCTGTGCTAAGACAACAGAAAGCCAATGAAGAATTTTGAATAGGAAAGAGTGTGGCCAAATATTTTCTACCTAAAAGACGCAAGTACGCAACATTCACTCTAGTGTTATGAGCCATGAGGCTGTGAATAAAAAATCTCTTTCATTATACGAGTACTTAGTAAATCACCAAAGACCTACTTCAGAACTCCAAGGAAAACATTTTATGAATCAAAAGCTAAGTACAATATGTTAGCAATTAAATGAGATAACATAATAGCTGAGGCAGAACCATGGTTTTCCACACCACAATTTCAAGCTGCTGCAGGAAGAAATGCTTCTATCATCTTTCAAGTTATCAAGCCACTTTGTTTCGGTTTTTTTTGGAACGCAGGGAGAAAGGAAATAAGAAGGATACGAGGTCAAGATGATGCAAGGTGTCTATTCTTTAATCAGATGGAACCATTAAGGCTTATAAAGAGATTTGCACAAAACAGAACCAGCCCCTGAGATGGGTCTTCAGTTACTGAGACCCGATTCTGGTTCAAATGAACAACAAATGAAGGTGTGCATTTGGGAAAGAAACTCCCATCCCAGCTCTCTCTCCGAAGTTTCCGGTGTATACCTCCCACTGCTACTTTATTTACTGCAGCTGGCCGAAGTTTTATAGCCTGTTTCATGTATTAAAATTCAAATGTGGAAAACATTACCAGTATCCTCCTTGAATTTTTTTTTTAATTCTTGGGGGGAAAGAGGGGGGGAGAGTTTTTTTTCTTCCCCTTCAACTTCCTTTTTATTGTGGAATGTATCAAATGGTCAAAGGCTAACTTCAGACTGACTAAATTCAAAAACTATTTCCTTTGTTCTGCTGTTTTTGTTTGAAAATTCATACCAGTTTGCATAAAGAAAGAGATGACAATTTGCTCTCCTTCCAGACACATTTGGGGGTTCCAACTGAGCAGCAGTGTGGACCCCTGGAATAGTCCCAGAAGCAAAACCAGAAGAACTCTTGTGCTTTAAAGGGCACACCCTGTGCCCGTGGAGTCAGCCTCCATTCAGATGCTCCAAGGTGTCTATTCTTTAATCAAAAGGAACTATTAAGGCTTATAAGGAGATATGCATGGAACAGAACCAGTCCTGAGATGGGACTTCAGTGATAACAACCCCATTCTGATCGGGCTCTGCACTCATCTCTGACTGCATTAGGAATGTCTTCTAGGAGTATGCAGGAGCCTCTGACAAGCAAAATTAGCTTTACTGATCCTGTGCAGTTCTTCAGAATCAAATCAAAGGTCTTCCTGAGCAATGCTGGGCAGTTAGTTCTTTTTCTCATGTCCCGGTTCCATCCCCTCCCTTGTTCCTCTACCTGGACCAGTACAACTTTGCATCTCCAGAGCTGATTCCAGTCTCTCCCTCCTAGAGCATCTTTGAATTCGACTCCAAAAGGAGGCAATTCAAAGGTCAAACAGTTCCCCGAAAATCTATGTACAGTTTATTATTTTAAAGAGCCACTTAACTTACATCTGGTATTTAAGAGCAAACTTTACATATTTATGGAAAAAAAAACTGTCTCTGAAGCAATGCCCTGGGTGCATGTTACATCCGTTTAACATATGCAAAATGAACCCAGCTACAGAAATTAAACTATTTTTCTCTTGATTGAGAGCAGATATACAGAAATGGTTATAAGTCACAGATCTGGCTTTTAATAAAGCCAGATTTCTTAATTAAAAGCAGTATTGTTTAAACATTGCAGCTTAAAAAAAAGCTGTGCAAACTAAAATCCATATTATATGCATCCCAAGTGTATTTAATACATTACCTGAGGCCAAGCTAAATTAAAATCTAGATTTTCCTTTTGTAAACTCTTAGCAACTGCCATGAATCGAAAAACAGTTTTTGCTCAGTGATAAATTTTTAGGGTAGAGGTCAAGGAAAAGAAAAAAAAAAGAAAAGATTTAGCTTTGGCATTCAAAAATATCTTTCCACATTTTAGAAGTGAGTTCATTGCTTCTATTTATAAACTAGTATTTCTGGTTTCAAATTGGTTGCAGGTTTCAGTAATACACCGCACTCAGGATGGTTCTCACTCAGGATGGTTCTTGTAATCTAAGTCCTTTACTATGAAATTTCAAAGCAGGGTAATGATACTTTTAAGCAAGAACTTTACAGGTCTCAGACTAACACTTCCTTTGCATTCTTCTTTTTGGAATCATCTTTGAACAAGAGCTACTGTAGTGTTAACAAAAAAATTGAACTCTATCCAAAGTAACTGATACCTAAAATAATACCTAATACCTATAAAATGAAATACTTGGGTTATTTGTTGATCAGGCAGAAGTTTGCAACACAGAGACTCACTATTGCTCGTGATTAATAAATCAATTACTAGTGATTCCTAGTTAAGTTATATACTCATTTGATCACCTTACTAATTATCATCATTTGAAATCTTTTGTTGAGGAGGTTCTTCAGTTCTTGTAATCATTAAAAACAGACATGAGTTTACAACTCCTTTCTGAAAGTGGTTGGAAAAACTGATACTCTAATTGCAAAGAACAAAACTATTTGAATATTATTTAAAGACTTATGCATAAGGTAAGTAAACTAAGTTACACTGTCTCACATCATGTTTTTATACAGGCAAATATACCATGTACTTATATTTTTCACACTCAAAATAAAGACTGGATTCTAAGCGAAAAATATTTTTAACCTAGTCATATCTGAAATATTGGCATTGTAGCATTAAGTACAGTTGAGTCCTTTAGCCAAAGACACCTAGAACACACAACCTAACAACTCACTCCTAGAATTATACATAAGTAAAATAAAATTTTTCCACACCAAAAATTATACATGAATGCTCATAGAAGTATTATTTACAATAACTAGAATAAAAACAATCCAAACATCCATTGCCTGATGAATGGATAAATACTACATATGCACGTACAATGGCATACTGGTTGGCATTAAAAATGAATGACTTGTTGATATACAACAAAACACATAGAGACCATGAAAACATATGCAAAGTGAAACATATCATTCAGAAATAAACCACTGAACACTGTATGATTCCATTTATAGGAAATATCTAGAAAAGGTAAATCTTTAGACAGAAAATGTAGATTAGCAATTCCCAGGGTTCTTGGGGCGAGGAAGGAAGAATGGAAAAAGACTGCTGATGGCTATAGGAATGCTGCAGAGGGTGAAATGTTTGAAAATTAGACTGTGACGATGATTATACAAGTCTGTGAAAATACTAAAATGCATTGAATTGCACGTTTGAAGTGGGTGAATTGTATGTTATGCATGGATGAATGATATATCAACGAAACTGTTTAAACAAGAAAAAAAACACCAATAATATTTATACTTGAAATACTAATAACTCTGGAGTCTATAAATCTTATCACTTACCATGAGTGAATGTCTGTTGGCGGAAAGAAGACCGGTTCCATACCCTGAGCCCAGACCACCCATTGCTCCATTATGAGAAGGTCCAATGATTCCATGCATGTCCCCATGGCCACCAGGCATAGCTGTGGATGGGCCCACTGCATGATTCCGAAGAACGTGAATAGCATCATCCAGTCTTTCTAAGCGATCTTCAATTCGGCTTTGCTGGGTTTTGATAAGTAAGTAAAGTGAAATTTGATTTAGTTTGAAAAGTGTAGACTATGTAAGTAAAACTCAAGTTGACACAAATCATATTTGGGTTTCTGAATACCTATTTTCAATAGTTTATTTCCTTAAAATTGTAACACTAATAAATAGTGCCCTTCCCAGAAAACTGGTGGTGAAAGGTGTTAATGTTATAGAATATAATTTTTCACAAGTAAAACAAACTTAGTAATTATTCCAGCACATTGAAATACACAGATGGATATTATATTGCATCAGTCTGAAGAGAATTTAGATTTACTTTAAATATTTTATGTTAACAATGAAAAGATGACCTATTTATTATTTCTCATTTATTTTCTTGAAGGCATATTTCCTTCAGTTATGTGGCATATGATACATAAGGAAGAAGCAAGTTAAGGACAGGTAAATGCATATAGATGTCGATTTCTTATTATGTGTTACAAATTTTAATCCATGTTCTTCCATTTCTGTTATAACAAAGTTTTTCTTTTTTGTGTGGACATGTGTGTGCACACATGTGTGTAGAAAGGAGTGGGAATTATACAGAAAAGTTACAGGGCTATTGGTACAGAGCACCCAATCTGAAATCTAACCCTGGTACTACATGGTACTACATTGTTCTCTGAGCTCAGGCCTGTAAGTCGGCTGAGTATGGCCCTGAACATCCCTGAGTACTCCAAGGTGTCCTGGTTAAATTCCAGTACTGCAAAGCCTGAGTAACATAAATAGCATCCTTAGGCTCTTGCAGTGAACTGCAAGTCCTATTGCCCAAGAATCCCTAGTGGGGACCCTGGTCCTTTTGAAGACAACCTGGGAGACATCCCTCACAACACTCTCTCTCTTACACACACAAACACACACAAAAACACAAATTTTAAAAAATTTTGTCAACAAAAGTAGAATGAAATTTCAATCAAGGAATCAAAATGATCTGAATTAATTGTTCAGTGGAGTTCTGATTTCAAAATCCCCCCCAGCATAGAATCAACTATCTTATAAAATCAAATTGCACAAATAAAAACTTGCTGACCCCTCCCCATTCCATCCTAGCATTAGGATTCCAGTTTTCTGCAACCAGACAAAGCATGAGATTTTTTGGTAAGAGAAAGTGGCAGATGTACTTTTTTTTTCCAATAATGGTATCAAAGAAGCAAATATTTTTGATGGTTTGGGGGCCACACCTAGTGATTCCTCACTCTGCACTCCTTTTGGCGCTTGGAGGGGCATATGGGATGCTGGGGATTGAACCTGGGTCAGCTGTGTGCAAAGCAAGTACCCTAGTGGCTGTACCACTGCTCTGGCCCCAGAAGCAAACTATAAACTGTATTATAGGATTCTCATTCTACATGTGTAAAGCAAATAAGCAATACATTATTACTCCTTCCATACTGATGTTCAAATAAGACTCAAAGAAATTAAATGAACTAATGACTCAGTGTGTCACTATGGGGAAATAGTAAAATTGAGGTTGGAATCTTGGTCTTTTGACTTTAAACCTGGTGCTTCTCTCTACTAAATCATGCTCCAGTTCACCAGTTATTCTATAGGATATAGACTGATTTGGTGGGCTGTGGTGTTAAAGGGTCTCCCTCAGACTTCTAGCTCTGAGTCTCATGAGACCTTGAAAAGGTTATGAATTTCTTCAAGTTTACAGCTTCTTAATTTATAAAAGAAAACAACTAGAAATGATTATATATGCCCAAATGTTTACAGAAGTATGAAAATAAATAATGCATGTGCCTATCATCATTTCCAAATCAGAACTTTCTAGTAGACGAAGGCAATTTCTTCTTGAGAAACCTTTCTTGAGTCATTGAGTATTGGAAGAAAACTGAAGCTCCCATTCACAACTATAAACCAAGTCATCACAGTTCTAGCTCTGGATAAAACCCAGTTTTGAGAGGCGAAGTCCAGAGAAGACGAAGAGAGGAAGTAACACTTCATACACTACATGTGTGGGGGCCATTTGAATGGGCTGTAGAATAACCAGACTAGCTAGGTAGGGGGGGTCTCCTCTCACACAGGAGTGGCTTCATGTGCTGAAATGCACCTCTGTCTTTTCACTTTTAGGCTTTTCTTAATTGAAATGCAAAGCTAAAAGGGGGAAAAAGGAAACCCTGAATTTCTGGCAAAGTTAATTTTATGACATAGTTAAATCTATGACTTCTTCCACTCCTCACCACAAAAGAGAGAGGAAGAAAGGGGTAGTCCCAGAGACAGTCCCTGCCGCTGCTTCTCCTCCCCTGATTCAAGTACAACCACCTCGTGGAAAGTCTTACTTCCTGAACACTCTCAACCCCATCCACTGCCAGTGAGAAAAGACTACATAGAGTATCAGACAGGAGAATATTTAGAAGAATAATAATTATACTCATGAACATTTTCAGCTATTTCTTATTGGAAGACCAGATATTTCTTTATTTTTTGGGGGGTTGGTCATACCCAGTGATGCTCACGGGTTACTCCTGGCATTCAGAATCACTCCTGGTGGTACTTGGGTCGGGACCATATGGGATGCTGGGGATCGAACCTGGGTCAATCATATGCAAGGCAAATGGCCTACCCACTATACTATTGCTCCAACCCCCCATTTTTAAATATTAGTAGATTTCTAAGAGAATGAAAACAAATGAGTATACAAATAAACAAGTTTCTTGAGGCAGAGGTCAAAGGGAAATTAAAAATCTTGTTATTCTGGAAAATAAAGCAGAGGTATTAGGAATGTTCAAATGTTTATGATGTAGGCTGGCCGGAATTCCAGCACCTCTAGTTGGGACGGTTACTTCATCATCGACAGGAATCTCTCCCTACGATGGGTAGGTGGCCACATCCCTTCAAAATTTCGAATCCCTTGTCTGGCCCTACATATTTAAAGCCCCGGGGTATTGCAGTAGTGTCATCTGTATTACAATCTTGAAACAGGAGCACGCATAGTCTAGTTACTCTGGCTCTAACCAAACCTGTGTGCCAAATGCCAGCTGGAAAGGTACTATTATTGGAAATAATTTTAGAAAGTGAAATAAAAACAGAAGTGAAATCTGGTCTGAAAATGGCTAAGTAGACATTAGCAGGTGATACTTACCAAAGAGTGTAAAGGTCCTTCATAATTGGGAGATGATGAGGCCTGTCCTCCGTTTCTAGACCATACAGCTGTGCCTGCTGACAGAAGATGGCAGGCATAGTGAGTTCTACATACTCTTAAAAAAAAACACCTCACCGATATTTTACATAACTCATTTAGAAACATCAGTTCATTAAGACAATAAAGCTTGAGATAGATATTGTCTGTCCTCCCGTTGTTCATCGATTTGCTTGAGCGGGCCCAGTAACGTCTCCATTGTGAGATTTCTTGTTACTGTGTTTGGTATATTGAATACTCTCGGTAGCTTGCCAGGCTCTCTGAGAGGGGCGGAGGAATCGAACCTGGCTTGGCCAGGCTGGCTGCGCGCAAGGCAGACGCCCTACCGCTGTGCTATGGACATGTAAACTTCCCATAGAAGAATTTGGGGGCAAGGAAAACATTTCAAATGCAAAATGTATAGACTCTATATAGGCTCAGAATTTTTTTCAGACTAAGGCAAAATTTAATGAATTCTGAGTTTTGAGTAGTTATTATAATCCACTAAAGATAATGAAATATACCTGCTATAATCAATACTGTATGTCGAACCGATCCTCTCAAAAAACCACTTTGAAATTTAAAGAAACACACACCCTTTGGGAAATCTAAAGAAGAAAAAAACTGAGCATCTATGCTCTTATGGGGATCTCACACCCCTACACTGTCAGCCCTGTAAAATTCCAGGCTGCCTCTCATTTCTGGGTGCGCACTGTATGGGTTTTCTGGTCAACAAAAATAACATACTCTGTTAATTACTTTTCTGGGACAGAATCTGGACAGAGCCGTGAGTGTGACAGTAGCGATCTATCTCCAGATTTATGTCTTCAGCAAATCCTTTCCTCTTCGCATGCATCTGGCCCTCGGAAGTGAAGTGTTGGGCCCCCAAGTGGCCTGGTGGCTGTGTGTTCCACTGTAAGCATGCCACTCGGCTGGAGGTACGTCTAGCGTTCGGGAATGATCTGTGTCTCCTACCTGTCTCTTCCCATCACGCAGCTAGGAGCGGAGGCCCAATGCTGAGGCTCCTGGTCCTGATTTCTGCTCTGGCTCCTGGCATGACCCCAACAAGGCTCACTGGGCCCAATCTGATGATGTTAAATGGGTGCGCCCAGAGTTCCCCCTGCTTGGCCTCCCCTATTAGCACCCATTTCAGTGGGCTGGACGCTCTTTCTATCCTGCTTTGCTGTGGGCCCCGGCACTTGTGGTCGTTTTGCGGAGTCAAATGAGCCTGAAGGGTGTAACAATTCTGAAGTGGACGTTTCTTTCCACTTCTAGCTTGGGGCATGTTTCACTATTGCTCCATCATTGGTTTCCTATCAGCTCTTTATCACCTGTTTCAAATGTCTCTCAGGACCTTAGGACTCTGAGACACAGCGATTTCTCCTCTAGTCAGTGACTACCAGGTGTTCCAGGGGGTCTGATGAAACTGATATTCAGTCCAGCTAAGCCACGGCCATCACCCCACAGCTCCCCAAAGTCAGGCGGCATCCTGAAACCTTCCATTTTCTACCAGGAACCTCGTTTATCACGGACTACACGAGTGCCACATGCAGGGAATAATACGGGGTTGGAAAGGGTCACACTTAGGCATGAGACTCCATGATAAACCAAGTAAGGTCAGGTTTCAATCAGGTGCAGACGGGAGTTAGGTTTTTTTTAGAAGCTGTTTGTCCTCTGTCCAAGTTGCAGAGATGGGCACCGGCAGAATCTGATGGCAGCGTTTTTAACAGAAGGGCACTGAATCTCTCAGATGGACCTCTGGAAAGTAAGCTGCTTTACTAACATCATTTAACAACTTATTGTCAAATTATATTGTGCCAATTTGTTGTATTTTCAAAGGCAAATATCCTTTTAACTCCAATTACCTCACAATTTATTTGCAAAATTATAGCTTTCATAAACGTGCATTCTATATTTCAATGCTTCTTTTTATGAAACGAATACCCATTTTCAATCTTTAGTTTTATAATATATGATGCCTGTAGTAGTAAATCAGCATACTAGAGAATAACACTAGAGAGAGTACATTATTTTGGTGAGGATTTTCTACAGAGCTAAGCTTAAGACGCTTCCATATGTTTCCATATGCATATTCTAACAACATGCTCTCTTTAAGAAAAGCTTTGCCTATAGATGACTGTTACCTTCACATGGGAATCCTCCCAACCCCCTGTTGGTTACTATAGGATTGTATTTGGGAATCTGAGGGGGAGTGAATATAAAATGTTTCTGTGAGGTAGGATTAAAAGTACAATACCTGAAAGAGAAGGAGGAGAGCCAACGGGAGTTGAAGGGTTTGATGAAAAGCTGTTGTTAGTGTGATCTGGAGAATAGATCTTAAAACAATGGGGAGAGAAAAAAGACACAAATCCTCATTCATTAGGCATGAACAATCCAGCATTTTTCAAGCTACAAAGTATCAGTAGGCATCATAAAAAAGTTATTTTACAGAATACACTTAATGACAACAGCACCGATATTCTAAAGTCAAAGACCTAACCATGATGTGAATTTTTCAAAATAATTATTGAAGTTGTAGGAGAGCACAGAAAAGGGACAGGACTGGGGATAGGACACATTAATTCTATTTCTCCTCCCATGGTTATGCCTCTATGAAAAACCACAGACAGGGTCTGAATCTCCCTATCTTTTATTTAGGAATAGTAAAAATTTTAAGATTTCTTTCCAATTCCTTCTTTTCTATGGTAGAGGCATTTCATTCCCAGACAGAACTGGAGTAAACAGTAACTGTGACTTGGAGCACACTAGTAGTACACAAAGTCACAGACATTAGTTATTGCTCCTCACCCATTTTTTTCTTCAAATCTCTTTTTGCAATTGCTCTAGAACTGCCCCCCGCAAAGTCAGACTAGTGGATTGAAGAGTACCACATAATCTTTGCACGTAGAGAATTCCCAGCATACAAAGATCCCGAGAATATCCACCAAGCTACAACTGAGCATCCTGAGTACCACTGTGTACAGACAGGATTGAAGGGACGGGTCACAGTGGAGGCTTCAAGCTCTCCCCACCCTCACGTCCTCTGAGGAATATTCAGCATGAAAGCTAGTCATTTCCAAAAATCAAAGCGATCTGCCATTTATTTTTTAAAATTCCAAATGTCCACTTCCGATTAAAGTTCAGCCCGCTATCCTGGTTCCGATGAAATCCAAAGTCAATATTTCCTCACCGAAGCAAGTGCTTTCCCCAGAGCATCTCCAGTCTGGGAGCTGCCTGCTGCCCCGCTTCCTCTATTTGCTGCAAAAACAAAAGGCAGAATGTGAAAAAGCAGGCAGTGAGACGTCTAACAATTTTCTATTCCTGGTCCATTTACTCACAATTTAATTGCATTTTAATGCTAATTACAACACATTAATCTTTAATTAGCATTAATTTGTTTGCTGAGGTAGATGTCAAATATATTCATGTTACATTTTTTACAGATAAAATATAAACCTGATACCTTGGTTTCAAGAATAAGTATTTTAGATGCTATTACTCGGCTCTTTGTCACTTTTGAGTGGTTCGTGGTGATGCTAGCAAGCGAGCACGCAAGTCCAGAGCTGAGAAGTATGTAGTACTTTTGGGTCTTGTCAGTTCACAAAGTTTGGCTTTTCTTTACACTCTCTATAGTAAGTCAAGTCATCTTCACAAATAATTTATATCTATCTTCAAATGTTTAAGGGAAAGGCATAAAGCAAAATTTAGGTGCTTCTCTCAAAGTCCCACAGTACATAGAATAAAAACAAACCAAAAAACATCTTTGAGAGGTTTAACTTTCTAGACGATAAAATATTTTTAATATTTTAAATAACATATATCCTCTGTATACTTAAGCCTGTGTTCGCATTAAGAACAATTATTATGCTACTAAAAGTTAATATGGGTCTCAAATTCCAAAGATAAAATAAGTGTACATATTCATAAAGCTATCTCTATCATCTTGAACACTGATATTTTTAGCTACAAACTAGATGATCAAAGAGGACTACTAATAAAAAGATACAGATTCTAGTGTATAATTCAAGCCAGCTCTATTTAACAAAATCTCTTTTGAAGATATCTTGCCTTTATAAGATGACACCCAGACCGTATTCTCTGGCAGCCCTCAGTATTAATGCAGTGTCGAGAACATTTAGTATTTTATGTCTGTTATTTTATTCTATGTTTATTATTACATAAGCATTAGCAAAAAGGCATAGCATTTAATAAGCAAAAATTATTAAACTCCAGGGGAAAATTTCATTATTTTGAGAGATAAATCAAGGGAATCTTAAATCAAAAGATTAATTTATTGCACACACTCATGTGTTTTCTTTTTTGCAGTGTTAGGGATGAAATCCAGGGCCACTACTGTAGAACGACATCCCTGGCCCTATATTCATAATTAAAAAAAAAACAACAAAACTTCAGTCTGTATCTTAAACCCAGAGAGCACCCCTTTTTGGAACATGTCACTGTCTGCATTCTGATTGGTAAAGTAAAGGAGAGGGGTCCTTATCTCAGGAGATGAATTTCCCGACTGCTCTCAGTTCTACTTCCAGTCTCTTAAACCTAAGCTGAGCATGTGCAAATGATGCATTTACATGCTGGATATGTCCCTGAGATCATCTTTCGAAGTCCACTCTATTTGGTTAGCAAAACCTAGCCCCGGGATTCTTTGGTTAAATGCCTCCACTGGAAGAAAGAAAATAATTTTCTGGTGGGACAAACCTATTTTGATTTCTATTACAAACTTATACCACTAACAAATACTAGCTATGATTATGAAAGATTCTCTATAGAAGCACATTCTAAAGAATAAGGGCCTGACTGGGTGAAAGGGTTCAAGAGGCTGGAGGGCATATTTGACTTGTGCCAAGATTCAACCTCAGGCACTATCTGGCCTCCTCAGTGCTGTCTGGTGCAGTTGAGTGGGCTGGATGGGCCCAATTCCACGCAACTGAGGCAGGGGAGGGAATGCACGCAGATATGAAGAGTATTAAAAGTACTTTCTCAGTGTATATGGTGCTGGGATTGAATCTAGTGCCTAGCGACACCAAAAAGAAGTTCAGTTCTACCTCTGAGCCACATCTTTAGTCCCTTAAAAACAGGGATACCTGAAAATTACATCTCATTTGAAAATGAAAAGCTCTGCCTTCAGAGAGTTCCTTAAAAGCTAATGACAATTACAAAGAGAAAGCTAAATAAAGATTTTGGAAAACAAAGCATTAACATATTTTCAGCATATATTATACAATGTATTTGGGGATAATTATATATATTTTTCTAAAACAAATGTAATCACATTTGCCTAAACTTAGATTTATCCGACAAAATAATTTATGGTATCTGCTTGATTAGAAAAGAGAGGTCTTCATGAAATAAAAAGTTAGAGCTACGATGGAACGTTACATTATCTAACCAAGAACCTAAACCAAAAAAAGATAAGGTATTATTTCAATTACAGATAAAATTTGCTACTTCAGTATGATTTCAGAATATTTAATTTTCCTTTGAACAACTTTAAAATGAGGGTGAAAAAACTTAAAAACATTTTCATGTAACCAAATAGAAAGAACTGAAAAATCAATAAAAAAAAACCTTAGAAACATTTTTAAAAAAATAAACCTTATATTCAGCATAAAATTACACTTTGGAGGCAAGATTTGATCATTCTGCTTGTTTTTGTACCTCACCTCTCTAAATTTTCTATTAGGTTCTATTTATAGAGGGAAATATTAGGACACAGGAAGTACCAAAAAAAAAAAAGACTCAACTCTTTACCTCATGGAGTCATGAAAATGTTTCTGAAAACTACAAAGGCCACTGATAGGAAGAGACTATTTTTTGACATGAAGCCATTCTACCTTGCAGCAGCTGGAGAACTAAAACCCAAGGGTTTAAATTTCAAAGGAGTTTATTAGGGCCAGTTTGCCCTTTCACTTGGAATGCCTTTTGTTCTGTTCCAGGAAACCTTGGAGAAGACAAATTTTCAAGGGACCCTGAACATGTTAAGCTACATGTGCCCTTCCCTTTTTAGTAAGATTTATAGTCTTATTTGTGTGACTGGCATGTCAAAGGGCATACAGAGTCCGAAAGTATATTTTTAATTCTCCACGGTGCCCTTTATTTTGAGAAGCATGTCAAGAGAAGCAAAACATTCTGTGCTCATCGAACCCACCTTTTAAGGACTTTGATGTACAAGGATTTAATTACTCTTTGAGGTCCAAGGTTTTGTCAACCCATTTTATTGCAATTATCCAAATTCCCATGGAACAGACATTCAGATGCCAACGAGAGCCAGTACTTGGTCAAGTTAGTTTGATCTCTTAAGTTATTTTAGCTTTAGTTTTCCTTGCTTAAGAAAAAAGCAAGTCTCTCAGTGGAACTGCAATACTAATGGGAGCAGAAAAGAAGCATTTATTAAGAGGGACTGTTAGGTGGAGGAGGACTTGTAACGGCCAGTCACCCAGGAATTGTTCAGATGCTTGAACACAGGTGCTACTACCCGTTGGAAGATGGAACAGAAAGAAGAGCTGGTATCTCCGGCTACAGGCTGGACCACCCGGCTCTCAATCCCTGCTCTGGGGAAATGGAGATTCTCCTTTGGACACACCCTAATCAAAACACCCAGAGGAGGGCTGCCTGGGGATGAAACATGGAACATCAGGACTTGGAAAACGTCTTACCCCTTTACTGCATACCATGACCTTAGACTGGGAACATCAGGAAGATATAAAAGGAATAAAAAGAGCAATTCATACTGTATTTGGCTAAAAGAAGATAACTGCTTTAAAATTTAGCCCCCTCCCTTTTTTCCCTGAACTGTATCCAAATGACCCTCCTGTTATAAGACCATTAGGAGCAGTTTAGCAATGCCATGAGTTTCTCTGTAAAATAAGAAAAGGACTACTTCAGCATTGCTAGTACCTACAAGTTTAGAATAAACATTCAAATACAGGCTACAACGTACTAATTTTCAGCAGGAGGGATTCCTAGGAATTCAGGGGGGGGGGATTTCTAACTCCCTCCCCCGCCTCCACCCGACCAGAAGACTTAAATCAAACTAGTTTATTGTTCTCTACTGGTGGTCTGTGTAGCTGAGATGCCATGACATTGTTGGTTAAAATCCATGTTACTGTTATGCTCCATGCCTGTTCATCACCCAACTGTATTCAAAGGCTCAAGATTCTTGCAAAAGACAAAGTGAATATTATGTGACTACTCTAATAATAAAATTACTGTGAAACCAAGTCCTCAAGGGGAAATGGACATAATGTTTCTACTAGGAAAGCCACATACTAAAATGCATCATGTCATACAAACATGTCATTAGGAGTGAAAGTTGTAAACCAGATTAACTCATGAACCAGATAGATATTCCGGGATAATCTGTAGCATATGTTGCATTCAATCAATCTTTGTAGCCGTTTCCTTCAACACTGTTTAGTTTGAGGTTTAAAAACATGGGAAATACCATGCTTTAGAAGGAAGGCCAGTTAAAGGCTAATAAAACAATAATAGTTATTATAGCCATTATGTTAGCTGTTTGCCCAATTTGCTTTGAGGAGAAGGGGGTGTGTGTAGCTCTAAACCACAAGGGGAGTGTACAAATGGTCACTCCCTATGGTGAAGTGAGGCATTCCCCTCCTCTGGGGATCATTATGCTATGGGGCTAGCAGTCCTCTCAAACCTGATGATGAAAGATTACTGTTAAGTAGGAGAAAAATAAATAGATTATAAAACACATATAGCCACTATTCTCTTGATACTTCTATCCTTTGTACTAGGTAGCTAATAGTATAACTTGTATACTATATATATATATATATATATATATATATATATATATATACACTTCATTCTCTTTGCTAATGCTTATATGTAGTTTTCCATTCTGCTTCTGAGAGTTACCCAGTAGCATAACATCAGAAGCATTTTAGGGATAAAGATGAGGAGTTTCGATATTGATAGCTCTCAAGGGCCTCAGACTTAGCTTCTCTAACTGGGTTGCTACACCAGTGGATCTACCATGAAGAAATGCTATTTCCTATGGGCTATATTCAGAATTCCATATCTTCCCATTCAGAAGTATTTAAATTGCTAACACATATTTCGATTGCTAAATATTCTTCAGGGAAAAAAGGGTATTTTACTCTACATTCAAAAATCAATGAATCAATAAATTTTGAGCAAGCTTTATCTTTTCTATGGATCTCTCAAATAATGCGATAATAATATTGAGCATAATGAGCCCCCCAAAAAAAGGAAAAAAAAAAGAAAAAAACCTCAGAACAAAGAATAATAGTCACTTGATCAAGTCACCCCGACCTCAGTGGGAATCTACCATTTTTGAAAATCAGGAGAATGACTGGGTATAGGGAAGATGGTTTATACCAGTTCTGATGGTTTTACTGTTGTTCCTCAAGTTTGTCTCACCTCACAGTCATTTGTTGTTCTATGATCAATTCAGGACAACCGCTGACGCCGAAGAAGATATATTATACCATACAACGGAGCAACAGGGGGATGATCTTATGAACTAAACTCCAGCTTCCTAAGACATCAATGCCATTTCTGAAAAGATTGCACTGCCTTGCAACTTTTCACCAAGGAAACTTGAAAAATGTGATGTCCATGTGTTAGTGCTTGAACCCCATTCTTACGGCATTAGTATTGCTTACAGTCATTTTCTACAGAATCATGTGTGTAATCTCAAACATGTGTCAGGCTATGTGTTCCCTATTTACCAATTATTTAATTAGCTCTGTTTGTTCTTTGAGATACAGGCAATGTAATATTTCTTTATTTCCTGCATTTCAGAATGAGTGAGTTTATGCCAAATATTTTCAAAAGTCTACAGATGTATCCTATTAATCCATACTGTTTGTTAGGGAAGTATCACTAACATCAGAAGAGAAAATTTTTCTTCTTGTTACACATCCATGTGGCCATTCCTAACTTATACTACACTCTGAAACCCAAAGTCTAAGAGTATTAAACTGCGAAGAAACACAAATCACTCAGACAACATGGATTTCAAAAGACTTATTAACATATTTAAATTTTCCTCTGCAGTAGAACATACGGACCTGAAGGATATATATATATATTTTTAAATATGTAGGAGTACTGCTATTTATTCATCCACTGATTAGCTGATTGAATTGGGCATGAACTCCACCTTACTATTTTTTTGAAGGATATATTTTTAAGAAAATAAAAATATGTAAGAATATAGAGTAATCTTCACTAAAAACTACTGTATTTCTGCAAGTTAAAGAAGACCTGCTCCTTTAAAAAGCTGAATTACCTGGTCTAAGTTTCCCAAAGCTTATAAAACGTTCTTACATTTTTGCTAGTAGATTTTGATAAGTATACCCATTATTAGGGAATAATTGATATCATAAGTTGGTTTCTAAAACAACCTTCTCTAGGTTCCAAAAAAATTTTCATTTTTGTAGTTACTTCCTTCCTACACTTAATTAAGATCTTGAAGTCTAAAACAAGTTAGGTTTGCTGGTAGTAAGATTACTTAGTATCCCGCCCAATCCACACCCAACAAAGAATAGTAAATACTGCTATTCACCTACAAACAACCAACTCATCTGCTTTAAAAAAAGCACGCTTCATTCTCATCAAGATGAGTTGCTATATTGATCACTAATCATGAAGAACAATTTTACCACGTCATAATATCTCTTCCTATGTCCTAGCATTTCTTTCCCAGGAAGGCAGTTTCACAAGGCAATCAATGAAACTTTGTTTTGAAACAGTGCCTAAATATGTTTTCCTTAACTAGAGCTTTGGCACTACCTTTATACCTTCTTAAAAAAGAAAATTACTCAAACCACAAGTAGACAGGAAATCTGTCCTGTAAGAGGATGACTGACCGGTCATCCTTCTTTATAACTAGACCTCATGACTGCAGAAAGGGGCTTTCCATTTGTTAAACCACACTGAAGTGAAATATGCTTTTCTTACTCTTTCAGTTCTGCACTTCTTTCTTTCTTCTTGTTTTTCAAATCTGCCAAAACTGCATTGATAGCTAACAAAACTTCCCCATGTGACCTCTGTCCATAACTCTCCAAGGTCAAACTGAAGAAACACATTTGTATAAGGCTTGTTATGAAGAGTTTCAAAAATGGAAACTCTTTCCTAAATTTGCTTCTTAGTGAGACATGATAGTGAAGGGCTGCTAGTTGGCTCATCTCAAGTGTGAAATATATTACTGAATAAGCAGGGAGTATATTATTTAGGCAGAATTATATTAGCAACATTTCAAAACACATTTCTTCTCTTTCATCAAAAACTCTCCCACATACGTGATTCACACCACTTCCCAGAGTTTTATAGACTACCTAAAGAAAATACACTCTCTCTCTCACACACACACACACACACACACACACACACACACACACACACACACACTCTACTCCCAGTACCTAAAGCAATTACATAGTAATACCATTCAGTTAAGCACTTTCTTCTCTTTAAGACAGGTGAATGTTCTTGGCTGTAAGATCAGAGCAGGGTGTGACCTTTGACAAATGAAATGGTACTAACATCCTTGGGCTGGAGCAATAGTATAGCGGGCAGGGTGTTTTCCTTGCACACAGCTGACCTGGCCAACCCAGGTTCAATTCCTACGTCCCTCTCAGAGAGCCCAGCAAGCTACCAAGAGTATCTCACCCACATGGCAAAGCCTGGCAAACTACCCATGATGTATTCAATCTGCCAAACACAGCAACAAGTGTCACAATGGAGACATTACTGGGCCCACTCCAGCAAATCGATGAACAATGGGAGGACAGTGACAGTGACTAACATCCTTGAGCTTCAAATTCTACTGTCCATCTGAATGACAAAGGCATATTCTGAAGAGGGTGGCTGCTTTTCCTTCAGTCAGAGCTCTTTTCCCCCAGGGCAAATGGAACCTCTAACTCCTTCAAGGGAAAGGAAGGAGTTGAGAGGGGCATGACAGAGGGAAAGGACCACAGAAACAGTATGAAAAACGGGAGGATGATGTCTCAGTGACCTTGGCAATAACATTCAGACTCAGTAAATTTGCTTGAGAAAAAAGCAGCAAATAATTTCCGGCCCATAGATGGGCATGCGGTAGTTAAGAGGTTAGCCCAGTGATCAGAATTTGGGAAGTGGTTCATCTCTATTATTAAGAACTGTTATTCCTCCCCCCCCCCCCCCCCCAATCTCACTAGCCTTCAGTGGTTTGGCTTATAAAAGTACACAATCTTTCAAACCATTTAAGACTGTGAGAAGCAAGAATGCTTCTGTTTAAAACCTGATTCAGTAAAATGATTCACGCTGGACAAAGTAGCCAGAATTTATTTAGCTTCTTATGAGGGAAAAATCTGTGTATATGGTCAAACCAATGACAATTGATAGCTTCATCGGTTTGTTCACTCTGTTATGTGACCAATATTCATTACCTGATTGCTCCTCAAACATAAGGTAATAATAAAAAAAAATCTTTCATTATTAACACAGTCATTAGCAGCTAATCTTTGAATGGCCGTTTTTGTGACTCACCCATTATACTGTCTGTCCCGTTGGCAGGAGGCGTACAGGAAGAGGTGCTGTAATGGTTTGTACCACTACGGGGAAAAGTGGACATCGGAGGAAGACTGGAATTGATGTCTGCTGAGGAGTGTGATGGATAGCTCTGCAACAAGAAGCAGGAACAACAAGCCACATTCAACTATAAAATATTTAGAGAATCAGTTTTCCAATATTTCTGACAGAATTCCTTGTTCTGCACTGGAAACTGTCCTTGGGATTTCAAACTATCCAAAAAATCTATCTTGCTTGAATCTGACAACTTTCATTTATCAAATAGTCAGACACAAAGACAGATAGTTGGTCTAGCCTTGCATCAATTCTAGAAGACATAATGATAAAGGGGAACACAGAAAATTAAATAATCTTTAAATTTAAAACAAATATGACTTAAACGCATAACTGAGCTTTCAGCAACATTAAAGTTCACTGCTATTGTTTTGCTTTGTTTTGTTTCTGGTATGTCCTATTGATCAAGCAAAAAAAAAAAATGATTCCAGGGTATAATTAATAAAAAACATGGTCACCCATGGGGTTTACATTCTACTCTTCTGACTTTCTGTATACTAACAAAGAACCTGCTTTAAATTTTTCCAGCATAAGGCTGGAGCAATAGCACAGCAGGCAGGGAGTTTGCCTTGCATGCGGCCAACCCAGGTTCAATCCCCAGCATCCCATAATTCCTAAGTGCCGAGCCTGAAGTATCCCCTGTGCATCCCTGGGTGTGACCCAAAAACAAAACAAAACAAAAAAACCCAAATAAACAAAAAACAAAAAAACAAACAAAAACACCTTCCCAGCAAAACTGGATCATGTCTCTGAATTCCAAAACAAGAGTACAAAAGTTTCAAAAATAAGAATATCTTTAACACTTCAATATGAAAAGCTTTAACTCAGTGACTCTGCTTAATTTAATAGAAACAAATGAATGAGAACAATTTATCTGAATTCTTTCTTTACACGTATTCTGCATTAGTCACCTACCATTTAGCTCTGAAAGAACATAATTTTTATGAAATTATTTGGTTTAATGCTTGGCTGTAAGTTAAGGTATTATACTAGTTATCCAAATAAGTTGCTTTTCTTGGGGCATACCACAGTGCCTGTAAGGCGTAATAAATTGCTAACCACCCATCTGCTTGGGAATAAGTATATCACTAACAGGGACATGGTTATTTATAAAAACACATCAAAACTATTTTCTTTTCAAGATAATAGTTTTTTTCTTTTCTAGAAAGTAGAGAAAACTTACTTTCATGACATCTGAGCGAATATTTAAGTAAATAATGTACTTTTAACTTATATGTCATTCACTAATGGATTATTGGTACTATTATGACATTTTAAATATTCTTTTAAAGTTAAATATTGAATATGATGCTGAACATGATACTGAGAGCCCAGATGTTTATTCATAAGGAACAAAAGTTTATTTTTGTGAGACTCATCCTGGATTTTCCCTCGAGTATTCCTTACAACATCTAACTCTTGCATGACCCTTCTTCTTTGAATCCACTCCTCAATGTGTCATGTAACAATTAACTGTCTTTCTGTTGCTTTCTCTTTCAAGATATTCCGATATAAATTCTTTTTTTTTTTTGGCTTTTTGGGTCACACCCAGTGATACAGAGGGGTTATTCCTGGTTCTGTACTTAGGAATTACATCTGGTGGTGCTTGGGTGAACCATATGGGATGCTGGGACTTGAACCCGGGTTGGCCATTGCAAGGCAAACACCCTACCCACTGTGCTATCGCTCCACCCTGGTATCTAAACTCTTTAATCAGAGAAGAACACAACCTTCTTGGTGCTGATCATACAATTATCCTATACACTCAAGAAACAGCTGATTTTTTCCCTATATTGTGTCAGAGATTGAACCCGGGACTCCATCATGCAACACATACATTTCACCAATGAGCCACTTCCTTGGCCCTATCAGCATTATAGAGATTTGAAATACTACTTCTTTGAAAAAAAAGTTTACAAAATAAATGAACTTTTCAGAACTTGCTCTATCAACACAGAAAATATTACCTCTGCACACTGCAAATAATCCAGCTGAAAGGTCAATCTGAGTTGAACTGATGCCCTTAAATTGTTCCAAGTTCCCAAGAATGTCTTTGAAACTTTTAAAATCTGTACACATCTTTGCTCAATAAATGGAAAACAAATAACTCTATGGTAAGACAGAGGCCTACTCGATTGTGCCATAGTAGCCCTCAAAGAACCCTGGAGGGGACTTGGTGGCACTGTGCACTGCCAGGCCTGTTGAGAGGGACTCTTGGGCTCCCTAGTTCCCCTCCAAAGTACCACAGGGGGTGGTTCTTACAAGAACATCCTTAGAACTAATTGTCACCTATAGAATATTCTGTGGTTCAATTTTCTCCAAAGAATGCGTTGGACCAATCCATAGAGCTTATCTAAAAGCCTGAGTAGAGATTGGAGAGAGTGTAGCAGGTAAGGCGTTTGCTTTGTTCGTGACCTACCTGGGTTTGATCCCTGAAACCCCATATGGTTCTCTGAGCCACACTAGCAACTATCTCTGAGTGCACAGAACAGCCAGGGGTGCCCTCACCCCTGCCAAATTCAAAACAAATAAACCTGAACCATTTGACAGTTAATGTCCCTTTCTCCTTCCCTCCCCCCCCCCCTTCGTCCCTCCTTCCCTTCCTTCCTTCCCTTTTAGATTTTGAGGTGACACTTGGCAGTGACCTGGCTTACTCCTGGATCTGTGTTTAGAACTCAGTTCTGACAGTGCTCTGGTTTCCATAGTGGCACAGGGGATTGAACCTGGGTTGGCTGTATCTTAGGCAAGTGCTTTAACCTCTGTACTATCTCTGAAGCCCTAAAGACTTCTTTTAATAAGGTAGGGAAGAACAGAATATAGAATAAGAACAAGAAATCATTTTATTTCATTTCTACACAGACCTATCACTGGCTGAGTTTCTGTAGAAGGAACTTTATTAAGAATGTCCCCAATCCAAATAAAGAGGGAGATATTATGGAACAGACCTAACTATAATAATCAGAGCATTAGATGTAGAAAAGTTTATCATATCAACGAGAATTTTTGGTTCCTCTTAATGTTGTATTAAGTGCTTAGTAATTTGGGATTTGACAAAGGGATAATACTGAGTTCAGAGAATAAAAATATTTCCTATATAATTTAATGGGTAACAATTTCAATGCATATAAATCAGTGATTTTTAGAGAGTTGTGGAAAATTAGGAGTTGAAGGATATTAATGATACTTGTAACTATCTTATTTAATAAGAAAAAATATCCTGGAAGCTAGACATCCAAAGAAGTAAAAACGCTGCCCGAGTACTAGTGATCAGTGAATAGTGTCTCTTTTTCAGTATTTAGAGATCAATTAGAACTGGTCCCATTAGTCTCTCTTACTCCAGCTATTAATAAACATCTGTCATGCTTGCTACAAAGCACAGGGGTATGATAAAGTCCCAACCACTTGTTTATTTTTGCTTGTAGTGCCCAATCAGTATGTTTGTTGTCAACTGACAGCATTAAATATTTACATTTGTTGTTTTTTTATCAACCTATGGCTTGAAAGACATATCAAACATTATGGCAATTGGTAGCCCCTTCTATGAATAACATCCTGCAACTGGTGAAGAGAGGGAGGGATTCTAGTTTGTACTGTCATGTGTTCTCGTGTTTGCGACCACCGCTCATGGGCTCCATTTATTAGATGACTGGAGCGCCTAACCACCAGCCCAAGTTGTGAATCTCAATGAAGTCTTCCAACTACTAAATGTTTCCAACAGACAAACCCAGGCCCTATTTTAGAATCAGTAGGGTGTTTATGCAAATAAGGGAAACAAAATTTTCCTTTATATTAAAATCCCAGACCCATAGAATCATTTCACTCCGTGGTGCGAGACCATGCCTAAACCATACCAGAGCGCCAAAACTCCAGCGTCTATTTTCAAAGAACGCTGCAAAGTCCTTCCAAAACTTTAATCTTGGATAACCATCTTTTCCTGAGTGCCAATTGAGCTCCCTTTTTCTGACCCCTTCTGTATGTCTCTCTGTGACATAGCAGGGATTAGTTGTGAAACTTAGTTCGAGAGGCTGAAACTACAAAGAAGATTTAACGAAACAAAACTGGTGCCTTGACGGTTGCTACTGAAACGTGTAGAATAAGCTTTACAATTACACATTGTATTAGAACATGCTATAAAGGCAGGGATGTTTTCAAATTGTTATATGTTTAGAGTTCATACAAATTTTGGTCAATCATATTCAAATAATCCAAGAAAGGCCCTTTTCTTTTTCTCAATCACTTGGTTCACAGAGTAGGTTGGCTGAAAATCTCTGGACTAAATGGCAAGGAACGTCATTTATTTTGAACTGAAAGGACACCGACTGCCTACTGAATATAGAAATCAACCTCAGTGAGTGTCAGATTTATAAAAGTCACCCCACGGGGATTTTTAGATGGTTAAATACTTAAATTACAATGATTATCACATAATAATACAGGGCCCCTATCATAAGAAAATTTATTAGCTATATTACCAGCAACCTAATTCATTTATTCCTTTCTGAAAGCAAAACCCCTAATTGCTAAGACTTGCTAAGTGGATCACACCAAGTGCAAAAAATCCCACATTTTGCGATGCATAAATGACATCACAAATGCAGTATTTGATGTACCCTATTAGGTTATTCCTCTAAAATAATCTTTCTTCCAGGATGATGATATTATTTTGGTTCTGCGAAACATCTTGGAAAGGAATATAATTGGTTTCCTTTTTAAAATTATACTTTTTGTGTATTTGAGTAAAATTTGAAGGCACTACCCCAGTGAATTTGACTGGAATATAATCAAACTGTCTAAATCAAAATTACACAGCATGACGGTGAAAGTAAGAAAAAAAATAAAGGAAGAACAATGAAAGCTAAATGGATAAGTATTTTAAAAAGTACCAAAATTTCAGGGGTTAGAGAGATAATACAGCAGGTAGGGTGTTTGCCTTGCATGTGGCTTACCTAGGTTCTATCCCTTAAACCCCATATGGTTCCCTGAGTACCATCAGGAGTGATCCCTGAGTTCACAGCCAGGAGTATGCCATGAGCACAGCTGGGAATGTCCTAGTCCCAATCAACTAGTAGAGTTCTAATATATTTTACTTAAATCAAAACTTTAATTGCTCAAAGAGCAAATGCAGTCAAAAGAAATTCTAATATAATAAAAAAATATTTGTATGTCTCTAAGCCTGAACTCTAACACCTTCAAATAAAAAATGGGGGAAAAGGAAATTTTAAAATAGATCTCTTGATTCATATTGGAATATACTAAATTTGAATTTGTGATTTATTCAAATGATACAAAAATGATATAAAAAAGCCAATTCTCTCTCTACCATTTGTCTCTCAGTTTAATTAACTGTAGAAAGTCTTTGTCTCTAGGCCTAAAACCGATATTTTCAAGTATGTCAGAAACTTTAACTTTAGTATGTTTTACAATGTCAGCTTTTCTATACATATAGTAGTTGAGAAAAAGAAAACATTAGCCATGGAAATCTAGAAAGTATCAATTTTTTTTATCAGTACATAGAGAAAGAGAGACCTAAATTTGGGTATCATAAGCAGTAAAAAAGGCAAACTGAAAGAAGAAAAATTGTGATATCACTAAGGGTGACTGATTTTATCATACCCTTTTGCATTTGTAGGATTAGAGGTTCATATATTTTAAACTATATTAACTGCACAAATGACTTTAGTCCCATCTTTTCTGCATCACAAACCTAACTCATGGTCTAGAAGAATTCATCCTTCCTCCACTTAATTAGGAGGAGACATAAATACCAAAGTGTATTGTGGGCCTTGTTAGCTCTTGAGGCTAGAAAAATGTCAAATGAGTTTCTTTCTATAGGATAAAGAGACTGACTTTGATGGCTAAGAGCAGGGCATGGACAAAGGAGAGATTTTAAATAACAAAGTAATGATAACATTCCTAAAACCAGGCAATTTTTAACCAGAGTAAGATAGAAGCAAGCTTTGACGGGATACTAGGGCATCTGAAATGAAAGTATAGCACTGAAAATGGACAATCTAATTTGCATAGAAATCCCTGGTTGCTGTTACTGTTAGAACGCAGAGAAAGATGCAATTCCTTCCTTAGGGTGCTTCACAACAAGCTCATGATGGTACCAGGCACAGAAGTCCATCAGAAATGGAAGTGGCCAAGACGATGCCCCATCACCTACCAACTATCACTGTGTTCTCTGCAGCATAATATTCAAAACTACAGATAGAAAAATAAAATAACAAAGAACTGACATTCTTGAAATTCTCCAACCCAAATGTAATGTGTGTTCATGTACCTCAGGAAGTTGACACTGTGAGCAAGCAAAGGAAAAAAAAAAACATAATAAGCAGAAAAACAATCATGAAAAGAAACTGGAAGGGCTTACAAAGGTGATCTGGTTGAGCTACGTCTCTGATGACAAAACAACATGTAAGGATAATATGTATGTGCCATTTACATTAATTTAGAGTTCTTGTGTGCATGTATGGGAAGACATCAGATGCTACTTCACAAAGTGGCTGTGTGCCGTTCCGATTACCAAGTGAATCTTCCTTACCAAACGTTCATGTGGATGCAAGCTACAGTAGCTGCTAGACTGTGGAATATGAGAAGAATTGCCCAACATTCCTCCATAGCCAGGCTGATTCATCCCACTGGAGGAGCTCCAAGGGTCACTGCTGTGATGGCCATCTGTAAAGGACAAAGGAAACCGTGACTTTTCAGAGGCAGTCTTGTCTTATAAAATAGGGTTGTTTTTTTCATTTACTTGAAACGACTGCCTGTTCTGTATTCATCTTTGTGTTGGCTAACTGATTACATCAGAAGACAGTCACCATTACTTTCTCACCCCCACCGCCTCCAAGTTGCCTGACATTGCTGAGCAAATATATTGAACATAGCTTAAGTGTTCTTAGCAAAAAATCAAGTGTTAGGAATGGAATGTATTCCTACCAGTGAGTTATGTCAAGTCAGCAAGGCAAATAATGCTACAAGAAATATTTCTTAGAAGTCCTCTGACCTTTTTATTCTACAAAAATCAACCAACGGGTTGATTGTTGTTAAATCTGGGTGTGATAATAAAATACTTGAGCTATTATAGACTTGGTAAGTTTACAAGTATTCAAAGATATTAAGTAATAATAAGAAAGAATACTTTGGATTTAAAGGATTAGACCTTATCTTTTTATATTTTTAAAAGAGAGTTAAAGTTAGAATTACACTAAGATTTACAGGGAGGAGAGGAATCTTGTTCTCTTTTCTTAATTTATTTTTTTGGTTATAGATATCTTAAGCCTTCAGAAGAAATTCTAATAGTATACACATCTCATCAAGTAGAAACTATGCTTACTGATAGTTTTGAGAGTCTCTGGAGTTATATAAAGCTATTATGAATTAAAAGGAGGTTAAACTATTTTAAAATTACATAAATTATCTTTTAACTCTTTCAGATACATCATCACTGTATCACTGTCATCCTGTTGTTTGTTGATTCACTTGAGTGGACACCAATAACGTCTCTATTCCTCCAAACCCGAAGATTTTAACAGCCTCTCCCTACTCATCTTTCCCAACGATTTGAGGCTCTTTCAGGGTCAGGGGAATGAGACTTGTTATCCTTACTGTTTTGGGCATATCAAATACACCACGGGGAGCTTGCCAGGATCTGCCCATGTGGGTGGGATACTCTCGGTAGCTTGCCGGGCTCTCCAAGAGACATGATATTATGACATTTCTATAATTAAAAAAAATTCTTCCAGCCTACTGATTAGAGACTACTACTATTAAAGGTGAGGCTGTTTGGTTTGGATTTCTTAAATTATGAAATGAAGTGGCATAAAATGTAAATGCTAAAGTCATTTTTGTTGTTGTTGTTGTTTTAATTTTTTTTAGTTGTTGTTTTTTATAGTTTAACAAAACCTATTACCAGTTCTATATCTGGTCATAAGCTAGGTATGAACTGCATAGCAAAAACTGCTTCCTTAAAGAAAGATTATTTTCACCACATACTATATTCAATCAAGACCTTTTCTGGAAATCTGGGCAATAGGCAAGTTAAATTCACAAATATTCCTTTTTTTTTCACTGAGTTAAAAAAAAAGATTAGAATTGAGAAAATTGGAATAGTTTCAGGACAAGGAAGATTAAACTAAAGATTTCTTCAAACTATGCTGTGACAATTTCAGAGTTTTAACTAAAAGATGCAAATTCAAGTTAAAAATAAGAGGTCATACAGTAATGTGTTTAAAATATGTTCCTGACAGTCTGAATATCTTTCAATTATTTCTTATTTCTTCAAGACCTGGTTTCTCAGGGTACAATGTAACCCTCACGATGGAAGTCAACATCAAGTAGAACTATGAAGTGGAAACACAACTTTCAGAAAGTTACTATTCACGTACTTCAGATAAAGCTCTGCGATTGTGGAAGTTTAGTTGTCACCTTAATTCAAATATGTAGTTCAAGACTACGAACATTTCAAATAGATGGCATATATGACAAGTACAGAATACATATCTCTAAACAAGAGCCTCCTGAAACATTCTGACAACATGATCCAGTAGATGGAAATATATTTAAGATTTGTTAACACAGAACACTCTACTCAATGCTGACTTAGAAAAATGCATACTTTACATAAATTATGCTTTTCACAGTAAATTAATATTTATCACAACCCATGATCTTAGCATAATGTTGTTTTGAAAGAATAGAATTAAATGTGTGCAAATTAATTGTGCCCATCATAAATGTCAACTAAAAAATTTGCTTATGGGTATTCATAAGTAGAAAAGAAAGTGTGTTCCCCATGTTTTGTGTGGTGTGCTATGGAGATGAACTTATTTAATCTACCTGTCTTCTGAAGTGTGCCCAATTTAAGCAAGCTACCGCCCTAAAAGCAGAGAGGGGAAATTATCCTTCTGTCATTTCTTCAATGAATCTCTGCTTTGAGCAATGAGCCTTTCCGCTGATTCTCTCTACAAGCCCACAAAGCACAATTTCTCACAGAGGAGCGGGAGCAAATGCCCAAAGCGCTGTGGTCTGTAGCTAACGGGGATGGGTATTTTGTCGCAGGCCCCCCACAAATCTACCTCAGTGTCCTATGTAACTGTGTTTCTCAGAGTTACACCTAAGTCAGGTCACAAGGATAAAGGAACTCAGTGAACACCAGCTCGATGAACTGTGAAATGAATTCACTCCATCCCTGGGAGACCCATTCGATTTCATTTTACATATCTCCATGGAATTTCTCCTGTGAGCTAACAACCTAAAAGAGCTAACGTAAGAAAAGAAATCCCTTTTCATCAAATATTATTTTAAGTGTGTCCACTGAAATCTAAGCATGATGCTAGGCTGCTTCCCTAGAACTCCCTGCCCAACTGCACACCCTTTCCGTGACAAGGCCTGGTAGAGCAGAATGAAGAAGGAAATCCCGTGGCCCATGGCCAAGGCACACTTGACATAAGGTTTTACACCCAGGCAAAAAGAGCTGAAGATCTGCATAATTGGCGGCAAATTCCGTATGAAAATTTCAGAGGATTCACTAAATTTCAGAGAAGCCAGATCACCGCCTTTCAAAAATTAAATATTATTGGCATATTAGGCATCTCTAACCTTAACTGCAATCTAAGGATAATCTATTCTTATAAGCAGCTGGTATAATCTCAGTCATCTCTACTGCTGGAGAAAGCTACACTGTCTTTTTTTCTCTTTCTTTTTTTTTCCCTTAACTTTTTGGGTCAAGCCTGGCGGTGCTCAGGGGTTATTCCTGGCTCTGCATTCAGGAACTACTTCTGGCAATGTTCGGGGGACCATATGGAATGTCAGGGATCGAACCCGGGTCAGCCACGTGCAAGGAAAATGCCCTACCCACTGTACCACCGCTCTGCCTCCTGGAAAAAGCTACATTTCAAGTAGCAGAAAGTGACTGTCCTATTGCGTCAAGACTACAAACTCAGGGCACAGACCCAAGTGCAAGTAATTAAATGTACTGGGCAATTATAAGAACATACTTTTTCTATATTTGCCCAAGGGAAAAAAACTGTTTTTTATACCCATAATCAGTCAGCATTGTGGGACAGATTGTGAATAAAATAACAGTCCAGTCTTCAGATAAACTACTTCATCTTAAGGGACACTTACTTAAATTAGTAAGTAATTAGTAAGTGGTTGAACATTTTCTATAAAGAAATCTAACTAGTTATTTACACTTAACTAGCAAGTGTAAATATGTGAATTTACATACCTGTAAATTAGTAAGTGGTTGAACCATTTTCTACAAAGTTAATCGCAAGGACAATTTATTCCCAGCAAACCAGGTTGCTCAAAATGCATACTGAACACAAACACTGCTACACACACACACACACACACACACACACACACACACACACACACACACACACACCTCTAAGCACCCATCCTGTCCTGCCCATAGTACAAAATGGAACCAATCCATTATGGGAAACAGTCCTCCAAGAAGCATTCTTAGCAAGCATAAAGTCCAACTCACTATTCCTCAAGGGGTTTAAAACTTTAAAAAAGTGTTCAGGTGGGTAAAGCTTTAATTAATTACTTTAAATGAATTCAGTTCCCGGGAGGAGCAGAACCAAAATTTTATAGTTGCCTCGTGTCGTATTTCTTGGCTATCATTTGAGCAGTCTTTCCCCATTTTTTTTATATACTAAGAACAAATTCAGAAAAATTGGTCGATTTTCTCTCTTAGAAGCAGCAGCATCTTTTTTTGTTTTTGTTTTTCTTTTTTTCTTAGTCTCACCAGGCTGTGCTCAGGGATCACTCCTGGCAGGCTCTGGAGACCATTTGGGATGCTAGGACATGCAACCCAGGTGCAAGACAAGCAGCTTCCAACGCTGTACTATCTCTTAGGCCCCAAGAAGCAGCATCTTACCTTGCATGAAGAAGGAGCTAGGGAAAGTGCTGGCTGCTGGTTTGGAGGAAGGATAGCCTGGCGAGTCCCTATTATAGTCGGCAGTGCTTGCTGATGGAGCATAAACCTGGAGAAAGAAAGCAAATTTAGCATTTGTTTTGCTTGCTACACTGACAAAAGCATCTCAAGGTCTATTGCTTTATAAGTGCGCACAAAATAAAACATTTTTACCCCAGAAACAGAGCCCCATTCAGAATACAGAAAGATGAAAATCAAACAAACAAAAGCTGCTCAGTTTAGTTTATGCGTGAATAGAAAACCAGGTATGGTAATCTCCAGTCAGATGCAAGAATATTGCAAACTAGTCATAAATGTTCTGTATGCTACTCATAGAGTTGTCCTCAGAATCTAAGCATCCTTTAAAAAAAGAAAAGAAACACAAGAAAAAGAATGCACAGGTTCGAGGAGCATGTGCAAGATAAAAACCAAAAGAAATCATCATGCCTTTTTCTAGTACTGTATCTTTCAATTAAAATTCTTAGAGAAAACAACACACACACACACACACACACACACACACACACACACACACACACATGCTTGCACGGAGTGGGAGAGGGAGAGAAAACAAGAACATACCATCCAGACCACATAAAGTGATAAATATATCTTGGAAGATTAAATTCCCATAGTGTCAGCTTTTTTTGCAGAGATGCATGAAAAAGCCCATTAAAAGCTCAAATCTACATAGACCACCAACAACCAGTGTTGTCCACAGGAAGAGTGGGGCTTCCTTTCTACTTCTTATTATATTTGTATGTGTAATAAACTTAAGAAGTGTGCCAAAATCCTAATTTTCTTACATTCGTTTACTAATACTCATGAGACTGGGGAAACCAGTTCTTTATAAAAATAGCTTGTGCATTTTCTTGCTTGTGCTTCCTTTGAAGAAGACAGCACACTTACAAAGCATAAATTCATAAGGTATAGTTTAACTTTAATTGGTTTTCCCCCTTGCCTTTTCTGCTAAATATAATTTTTTCAAATCCCCATTTTCTTTCACTCCCAAAGTTCCTCTCTCCAGATGGTCGGAGAGACTGTAACACTGCCATCCTCTTGATGAAAATGGAGACCTTCCTGCCTCCATTTTGAAGCAAGCAGCCGCTCACAAAATTGGCAGTGAGCCTACAGTGATACTCACAGGTCACCATAAAAGAAAGAGAAATTCACCAATAAAAAAGGCAACTGCTGGATTCCCCCCAAGATAACTCCCATTTCTTCCACCGTGCACATTGAATAAACTCCCTCAGAAAAATTATGTAATTGCTCTCAGAACACCAGGAATCACAAATGAAGCATTAATACAAGGTTTAGGATTTCACAAAGGACAGGTCCTCGGAGACAGATGAGGAAAAATATGCATACCCATACATCCATCAAATAAATGCTACATGTGCCCCGTCGTGCCCTTGAAAATGGAGGGATCTCGAAGATGAAGCAAAACACAAACAAACCAGAAAAAAAAAACCTACTTTACACTTTAGAAAACAAGGGTTTCTCCTAAGTCAGAAGGCTTATTTATTAAGTCTTACATTTTATTCACGGCAAAGGCAAAGCTACCCGTGACCTGTTTGATATGCCAAAAACAGTAACAAGTCTCACAATTTGTTGTGAGACATCACTGGTGCCCACTGGAGCAAATCGATGAACAACGGGAGGAGGTGCTACATTGCTACATTTTATTCTACTTTTTAGTTTCCTTCCTTTTGTAAATCTATGAACAGGTATTTGCTCCTTTTACAGGATCCATAATAAAGGAGAAACCATTGTCAAGTGTCTTTCAGGGATGAAATGTAAAATTTAATCCAAGAATCCTCCACTGCCCCCCCCCCCCCACCCAAATGAATACTCTTAAGTTCTGTCAGAAAACCAAAAGTACTTTCATAAGGACTTTACAATGAACACCTTGGAAAATTACCACTAAGTATGTTTAGAGTGATCCTCTAGACTAAGCAAATAAAATAGAAGAAAACATTACCTGCTAGGAAAAGGGAAAATTGAAAATTAGATCAGTTCATTCTAGTGACAGAATGATACAATACAGAAATTTATCTAGAGGCTATTATATTAGCCTGAAAGCTACTGGGGCATTAAGTATTTAAGAAGTCAAGTGCATTATGCATCATACCCAAATTTTATAAATCAACACACTTCGCATTAAAATCAAAATAATATAATCCATCGTATTATGCCACCTAATTTTCAAATATATTCCTTTATCATAATATAGTTTAATTTTAATTACATACTCTATTAATTATAATTAAATATGTATGATGTCAACACCATTTGGTTCACCTTTTTCCTGATTTGGACAGAATGACTGAACACTTCTTTTAGGTATAAAAACAAACTTACAGTCGTTTTGGTCCTGTGGAAGGGTATGGGGGAGGGGAGTAGCAAGACTTGAAAGCCACTCCCAGGTCACACAGTACTAAAGGTACATTCTAGTGCTAGAAAATTCCATTGTCTGAGAACTGTGATCTAGTGTAAAGACCCAAGGGGAAGATCATACACCTCAAATTCTTAAATACTGCCTTCATAAAGAAAGTATATCTATGGAGTTGAAAACTTTCATGATACAATTTTTATTTTTCCAGTATTAAGGCTAAAGACTAGAGAGGTAAGATTAATATTGCCAACAGGAAATATGCCATTGCATACTTGAGGCAAATTCTATAGACTAAATACAGTAACACAGATCATCAGGTACCGTATTGTTTCCTTTCTATGTACATACTTCATCTTGTTCCTGCAAAAGGTATTTCTGTCTTTGTGTTTGGTTTTGTTGGCAGCATTGGGAATGGAACCCAGGTCTGCACACATGCAACTCAAGTGCACTACCGCTGAATCATATCCTTGGGCCTCAAGGGTATTTTCCTAAAGGTAAGGTCTCTCTGTACTTATACACACAAACATTTATGTAGAACTGCTATACTTTTACTCAGTATAAAGAATAAAATTTTAGTTCAATCCAAATTCTAATGACAAGATAATTTAACAATATTCAAAGATACTGCTCAAGTCATAGAAATTGCTCAAATACACATTTACTATTGTTGTTTATATTTCACTACTTCATGGTCAATTTCTTTAAATGGTGATAGAAGTTGAGCTGATATTTATGAAACCAGAGAGACTGTGATATTCATATTTTCATTTATTCTTAATCATGTGATCTTGGATAACCTGGACAGCCAGGAAGCTGTTTCCTAGTTTTGTCTTCAATTTGCAATTTTTCAACTGAATGACTCAAAGGAAGAGCTTCAATAGTGATGCTAAATTTTATGTATCAAGCTCGTATCCATTTAGCTTTATTTATTACTGTTTTAGGTATACAGAAAGAGGGCTTACAAATTTGTTAACTGTAGCTGCTTAATTTAATAATAGCACCATATAACTTGGTATAATAAATATGCAAGGTATTTTCAAATCATTTCTAATGACCAATATAAAAAATAAGTCCAATGAAAATTTAAATTATTTCAAGTTCTAGTTCAATATATAAAAATGATTATCACCAATGAAACTTGAGGAAAGTCGAAAGAGAAAGCAAAATCTACAGTTACTTTTTTCTCTGATAAAGAGGCTAACATCAAGGTAACTTTGGGCTTTCCAACTTCTCCTGGAAGACTAAAGAAGTGTGAGAATGCACTGTCAAACTCGATGAGGAGGAACCTGGTCTAATCTCATAGAAGATTCTTCTCAGTTCTCTAGAAGCTCTTTTAGAGAACTGTCTATAGAATAAAAGCTTTATGGAAAACTAATAGCCATGTATAATATAGCGAATATTCAAAGATAGCACTACTTTCCTTATATTCCTGAATTTAAAACAAAATAATGCCTATAGGAATTCTAAATTTAACAAAGCTCTCTCAAAACAGTGAAGTCCTGAACAGATAAAGTAAGACATGGTAGGGGTCATTACTTGCTTCTTGAAGTGGGAAGTCAAACTCTATGACATGATAAAGCAAAAGGAGTTATATGAATTAAGGACCACGGGGTATATAATTGAGTGACAGTCAATGAGTTGTTTGGTTGACCTTAACATTACTATCCTGAATTTTTCAGTACCTTCTGAATATATAATTCCAGCAGATAATTAGTGTAGAATAACTGAAACACTGTAATTATGACTTTCAGATCTTAAAAAGAGTTTCTCCATGATGAGTAGAAAACAGTAAAGGAGAATTATGCTTCAGATACCCAAAGTGTTTTGCATGGCTCACTTACTGGCTGAGATAATGGGAGAATTCACAAATAACCAAACTATAACAGTTAAGTAGTCAAATGCCCAGAGTTCATGGTGTACTAATGATGTTCTCACATATGTACATATGGACTGATATTTCAAGATGTAATGGGGAAAAACTGCAGGTGACCAACTTCACTCAGAGGCAACTGGAATGTATCTTCTGAGCCTTTGAAACAGTTTCCAAAGACAAGTTATCTCCTTAGAAAAGAATGGCTCAAGGCAGTGCTACTGCAAATTCAGAAGAAGTAAAATGGGCACTAACTGTTCTTTAAACAAACGAATGATAGGTGAACTGCCAGCTGATCTATGAAGATAAAGGGGGGCTTAGAGGAGAAATTTCCAGATAGGAAAGAAATAGGCTTGGCAGGCTGCATAAAGTAGCCAGCTCAGGACCCAGATCATTTGAATTCAAATTCCAGTTTCACTAAACATCTGTGAAGACATAAAATGATTTTTCTGATTCTCTGGTCCTTTATTTGTCAAAGGGGGTTATTCATGCTATGAAGATTAGAAGTAATATATTCCAATTTCAAATTCCATTTGAAAATGGAATTCTACTTAGAAATAGTGTGATCAATTTTGGGGGACAATATAAATTCAACAGAATTTTAATGTTTTCCCATCATGTATTTTCCTATGATTAAGAACGGGATTCTCTATTCTACTCTTTTTACTGTTTCTTTTCAAAACTCTAGATTACTTCCATAGAGATGATACTTTCTCTTTTAATGCTACCACTTCTCTACCTGCTGTTGCTCTGACAGTGTATTTTTAAAGATCAGATGAATTCAACTTCATTTTACAAATGAGCT